TCTTTTTTCCTTTCTTTCTCGCCTATATATACACAGGCATATACTGTACAGGGGAGTGCCCTTGCTTTCTTAATAAAACATTTGTACATACAAGTGAAGATTAAAACAAGTTAGATGGAACCTAACAGTTCCATTTCCGTCAGCAGTTTCTCTTTAACCCCTTAGCATGCCGCTCACATTCTTTATAGACAGCGCCAAAATACATTCGTATAAAATAGTTTCCAGTAACTGTTACAGAGAAATATAGTGTTATAACATTTGAACCAAGTTCTGCTTGTTCTGCCATTGATCGTGATCTAAATGTTTGATAGAATAACGCTTGAAAACAGAAATCTGGCTTTCCGGTCTCCGGATCACGATAGCAATGGACTACTTCTGTCTTATATGGTGTAGTGCGTCCTAAGACACAATTTTCAGCATGTCTTTTACGTTCCTGATCCACGTTATAATTCTTATTTTCACTCGTATATTCGCTTGCTGTATCTAATTCACCATAGATTTGATAGTACAATGTATTCTGTGGCAAGCTGCCTGAGGTTATTTGTGCTGGCTCACCATATGGATATAATTCTGTACGTAAATAATGTAAAGTACGTTGTAAGAAACATGCGCGTATCATAACACTTGGATATGCTTGTATTGCTTCATATGGTACTTCACCTTTGGCTTCCTGTGAACTTGCACTATATAAAACTCCATCAAATTGATTAAATGCTCTAGCAATTTGGTCATATGATTTTGCTGCATATTTTGGACGATCTTGTATAAATTTATTAAATACGCTTGTACCATAACCCCATTGCATACCAAAACGTGTCACGTCTTTTAATAATGTTATAATAAGTTGATGTGCAATTGTTGTTGAACTAATTAGGAATCGTCCATAAAAGGCATCGGACTAAGATTGTATGACAATGGCTATCTGAAACAGTGAATCCGACGAAACTGGGTATCTGTCGACAGTGTTTCTTAACTTTTTATGTTTTAACAATTTTTTGCTGAAGATAAATAACTGATGAAGAACAAAATTATTCTGCTAGTGGTTCTTATTTTCCTGGATCCTATTTAGAACGCTATTTCGTACCCATCTAAAACAGAACCAGAAAGACATGTGACACACAGAACTCTTCGAGTTGTGTTTAGCTTTTCTGTGGCTGAAAGCACAACTTGTCAGGAATAGCGAGAGTCGACTGTAAATCACAAGGAAAGTTTCACATGGAACGTCGCATAAGCCACCATTTTTCTCGAGCCGAACGTTGATACTTATTCTAAAATCTAAAATTCCCACAAAATTTTTCATATTTTCATTAAAACTGGCGTAATCCAATCTTATAATTACTGCAATACTAATATCTTTTCTCATTTGTTGAATAATCTTTTAAAGCATCGATTAGTCTATGTTGAGTCTGAGTTCGTACTTTTGTTCCAAAACTATGGTACACGAATGCTTGTGCTGGTCTCTCTCAGTGTTGAACTTTCCTCTGCTTAAATGTCTGTGCAAGAAATATACCTGATTATCAATTAGAAAAGCAAGTTTTTGCAATGACCTCCAATGACTAGTATGACGTATATGTGAGCAAAAAAGTTAGTCTTACTGTTATACAACAGAGCATCATGTATTGATACATGCCTTAGCTCGTTTTATTATACTACTTTTACAAACTTTCAAACATGAATAATGCCGAAGTTAATAACGCCGTTATTCCCATTTGTCTTATCATTGCAAAAAACTTACTTTTCTAAATGATTATCAGTGACATTCACCGTCAAATATCCCAAAACCTAAAAGAGATCGTTTTCTAAAAGATACATCAGTATGGTGTACAACATCAGTATGGAGTACTTTGAACTAGTATGAACAATGGAATTAGACCTTCTCTAATTAATGTAGTTTTAGTTCGAAGTTGGTACAATAGGAAATAATTTTACAGTGAGCACTCTCCTCCTTGAATATATAAAATATCTGTTCTTTTCTCATTTTATTCTTTTAAACAGAAAAACAGAAACTTTTCCCTTACAGGAAAGTCTAAATAGTATCAGAGTAGATTTAACTGTAAAAGAAAAGTAGATGTGTATAAAAGAATAATCTTTTAACACATAGCGGTTAGATTGCCTTGGGGTAATTATGGTCAGCTCCTCAAAATTTCGTCGTAGTTCTGCTATTATCTATTTTTTGTCAAGCACGGATATCACTACCATTGCAAATTTCTCTAAGAACAGCTTCAAAATCATCTTTCGAATAACGAGGCCGTTGGTCTTTTTTATGTATGTTCGTGGCACTAATAATAATGTACAATAGTCGAAGATCTCAGTAAGGCGCCAATAACTGCGTTTTACATCGTATTTATAGTGACCAAGCATTACTCTTAGATTAACCGGCATCTTATTTCTATACGACGTATGTATCCACAATACAATCAAAGGAACTGAAATTAAAGTAAAACAAATTAGAATTTAAATGCGGCAGAACGGCAGAGCAGCTGAGCAACCGTCCTACATTTTGAAATGCTCCCTTATGCTGGTCTCTCTCAGTGGTGAACTTTCCTCTCTTAAATGTCTGTGTTAAAAATTTCGCGCTAAACTTTCTTCAAGATATGAGTACTTCTCTGATGTATAGGCTCAATTAAACGTATAGACTGTACCAAGACCTCAAAATAAAAATGCCAGAAGTGAGAAATGCATTAAAGGTTGATGTTTTTTATAGTGGTTGTGAGTATCTTCGGTGTAAGATCGCTGTTAGTGACTCTCAGGATGTAGCAATGAGCGGTTCAGTTCTGTACGATGCACAGAGGATTGGGACTCAGCCATTCCGCCTCATTCACAGAATATTAGATTGGCTCTAATAAGGAACTGATCTTCGCGATAACATCTACGGGTATACATTCTCTGAAAGTTCAAGCGTGAACGCAAAAACATACCTTTTTTCGTTTGTAGATAAAGATTGTGAGATCCTAAACGAATCATGGGGCTGATGAAAACCTCAAAAACTGTTTCCATCATGTTCTCGAAGAAAAGTCCGAGTAAAACATGATGTAATCAAACTTCCTGTTCTTGATTTCTTTTACTGTTCACGAATAAAAAC